TGCATTCCCTTCCTTGATGCAGGGCTTTATGCTGGCAATTTTGCAAGATTCCATTGTGACTTTTAGTATAATTTTCAGTATCACATATATTTTTGTTTACATTTACCTTAGTATAGTCATTTTGGTACACTTTTTTCTGACTGGAGAACTCTTAACTCAGACATATGCATTTTTGTGTGCATTTCAGTTGGTTGTGTGCATTTCCTGTTGGTTGTAAGGGAAAAAAATGGTTAGTTTACCTGAAAATTTGGACTGGATGAATTTATCTTCCCAAGCAGGATATAGCTTTTTTTCCCCCAGTCTGGCAACTAATTGTAGCACAGAACAGCTGTTTCTGGGATCAAAACTATCAATTTGTATTCCATTGTGTATATTTATCCTTTGCCTAGGTTGTGTAAGTGTCCTGTATGTAGACATGAGCATTTGCTAAAGTCATCATTAAGGCTATTTTCAGACAGCACTGGATCCGCCCTGACTTAGCTCTTCTGTTGTTAGATACAAAATATTTTGGACTTATATCTAGATGGCTGTCTTTACAGGCATAAATCGGATTTTATCTAGTCCTAGGCAAACTGGTCACTAGTAAGAACTGAAACATAACATAAAATGGATTATATTTAATTCCCCAAATGTGTGTGTTCTGGTATGCACAGGGGTGTGTGTATGTATAGTGTGCCTTCAAGTCATTTCTGACTTACCCTATGGCAAGCCTAGTACCTCTGTCTTGGCAAGATTGGCTAATAAGAGGTTTCCCTTTGCCTTCTGTGAAGCCAAGAGAATGTGATTTGACTATGGTCGCCCAGTAGGTTTCCATGGCTGAATGGGGATTTGAACCCTGGTCTCCAGAGTCTTAGCCCAATGCTCAAACCACTACACCAATTGAACCCAATTCTAAATGTGGAGGATTTATACAATTTCCCCAGTGATTTTGCACTGGAAAAATGCTGTCTCTTGTATGCACAGGTAGCACAATATCTGTTGTAGGTGCCAGCATGGCTTGAGTGTTGAACTACAACTCAGGAGATCAGGGTTTGAATCCATACTGGGCCATGAAAACCAACTGGGTGGCCTTGAACAAATCCGACTCTCTCAGCCTCAGAAGAAGGCAATGGCAACCCTCCTCTGAATGAACCTTGCCAAGAAAACCCCATGATAGATCATCTTAAGGATAGTGGCGTTCCATACTGGGGTGTCACCCAGTGTGGGGGGTCAGTGATTCAGGGGGGCTTGGGGCAGAGCCAAAGGAATCTCCCTCCTCCTGTCCCATGCACCCCCATCCCTGCTCTGTGTGGCTTTATTCCAAAGTAAAGCTGCACAGGCAGGGATGGGGACACCAGGTCCTCTCCTTCCCTCCCTTCCTTCCTAAGGCTTGAAAGTCAAACCTCAGAGGGTAGGGACTGGGGATGCTGGGTCCTCTTCCTCCTTGTGCTCCAAGTCTTGTAGGTCAAGCCTCAGATCTGCTTCCCTCCCTGCTGGGTCCACTTCCCTCCCTGCCCTCTCCCTGCAGGGAGCTGGGACCGCTTCCCTCCCTGCCCTCTCCCTGCAGAGAGCTTCCTTCCCTACCCTCTGAGGCTTGAGGATGCTGAGTCTTATTCCTCCCTGTTGTAGCTAAGGGTCTTCTCTGGGGGGAATTTCAATTAGCTCAATTAATTATTGTGTGTGCTACAAAACAGACCTTGAGACCATTTAACATGTATATGGGGAGGTATTAGGTATGAATCCACAGAGGCAGAATTATCCAAATTAACTGTATTATCCTGAAAACCAGATGATGGACTGATAGCCAAGGCAAGGGGAAGTCCCAAAGTCCTAATTACCAATTACCTAATTACCAGCAAGCAAAGAGTCAAACATGGTCCGTAGATTGAGAGTTGCAGAGAAGCCGAGAAACAAGGCAGTCCGAAGTCCAAGGATTCACAAGTCCAAGAGTAGTCAGCAGTCCAAGGGTCAAGGAGTCTAAGGGCCTTTGCAGATTGCCAGAAATAGTGCACATTAAATTGAGGCACTGCCTTGGCTCAGTGCTAGGGAATCATGGGAACTTTAATTTATTGTGGCACCAGAGCTCTCTGGCAGAGAAGGCTCAATGTCTCAGAAAAAAATACAATTCCCATGATTCCCTAGCACTGAGCCAGGGCAGTGCCTCAATTTAATGTGCACTATTTCTGGCAGTCTGCAAAGGCCCTAAAATAGTGAAGAGTCAAGGGTTCAAGGCAAGGAATAAGGAGAGCCAGGGACAGAGGCTTTCACCAGGAAGCTCAGATATCCTCTGGCACTAAGGTAAACCTTCAGCACTTACTTAAATCCCTGAGCTGCCAGGGCTCGGCTGGGGCTGACTACCTTGATGACCTTGGCATTTTTCATAAAGCCTCGAGCGTCGGAGGCCCACCCTTTTGGCTCTACGCTGACGAAAGGTAGGCACAGTCCCTGGATCCTCCTCCATGTCCGACAGCTCGGCTGCAGAGCCTTTTGAGAAGCCACAGGCCCTGCTGGAGACTCTGTTGACAGTTCTGCTGACAAAGCAGAGCTCCTAGGACCGAGCTGGGGCTCCTCCGCTGGAGGCCCAGGACCCAGAGGAAGTTCTGACTCGTTCTTCTTGTCCTCCGAGTCTGCATCCAGGCAGGGAATGACCTCACTCCCCCTCCCATCAAACTCCCTCTCACTTGAAGGAGGCTGAGGCCAGTTGGAGAAGCAGCAACGAAAGGCCCAGCCCAGATGGGCAGCATGGACGTCTGTAGCATCTTCCCAGGAGCACTCCTCTGGCCCATAGAAGACCCAATCCATCAGGTATGGAAGGCGGCCCTGATAACAGTGGGAGTCCAAGATCTGAGCCACTTCGAATTCCTGTTCCCCATCCACCAGGACCATATTGGGTGGAGGCATGGAACCAGCATCGGGCCAAACCCCCGAGGCTGGAAGCAGCAAGGAGTGGTGGAAGACCAGGTAGATCTGCCATGTCCATGGAACTTGGAGCCAAAAAGTCATGGGATTCACCTGGGCCATGATCTTATAAGGCCCCACAAACTGGGCATCCAACTTTCAACATAGCCACTGAAGTGGGAGATAGTGTTTGGACAGCTAGACCAAATCTCCCACTACAAAGGAGGACCTTTCTGCTGGCACCAATCTGCATCCTGCTATATGCCTCCTTGGCCACCTCAAGCTGATCCTGCAGCAAGGACTGAGCAGCCTGGAGTTCCTGGAGCCACTGGTTTGCCACAGAGACCACCAAGACAGAAGACACAGCCAGAAACCCTCATGGATGGAAGCCACCAGTGGCAAAGAAGGGTGTCTGCTGGGTCGAGGCATGGACCGAGTTGTTATAAGCAAATTCAGCCAACGGCAGCAGGTCGATCCAGTTCTCCTGGTAGTAGCTGGAGTGGCAGCAGAGGTGTGCTCCATCTGCCTGTCAAACTCAGGGTAATGTGCTGAGGACAGGTGAGGTGCAATGTCCAGAAGCCATAGCAGACTGGTCCAGAACCGGGTGGTGAACTGGACCCCCCGATCAGAGACCACCCCCTCAGGAAGGCCATGGAGCTGGAAGATGTGCTGCACAAACATCTGGGCCTTCTCCTTCACCATGGGGAGACCAGCGTAAGGCACGATGTGGGCCATTTTTGAAAAAAGTTCCTCCACCACCCAAATGGTGGTAAAGCCAGCACAAGGGGGCAGGTCTGTGCTGAAATCCATAGAGATGAGCTTCCAGGGCCCTGATGGTTTTGGCAAAGGCAGCAGCAAGCCTGTGGTTCATCCCAGGTGGTTCTTGGCCTGGCAACACACCAGGCAAGTGTCCATTGCTGGGCCACCTCCACCCAGACTCAAGACCACCAAAACTCCTAGGTGAGGAGATGCAGGGTCTTGCAAAAGCCAAAGTGCCCATGGGCTTAGAGTCATTGCACAATCACAAAACCACCTCCTGACAGGGATCTACTGGCATGTAAAGGTGGTCCCAGTGGTAAAGCATGTCAGGATATTGATGGGATATATAGTCAGTGTTAAAATGTAAAGACGTGTGTGTCTGTATTTTCCATGATGAGAAATATGCTTCTAGGCCTAGTAACACAA